CTCATTTTCCACCAATACATAAAGGATGAACATCTTATGTCTGGATGCGTACATACTTGGGCATAGATCAAACTCCCTACAACTGATGCATAGGGAATCTTTTGCATTTCCTCAATTTCCAAATTCCCTTTGGGCACTGATTGAGACTAAACTTGTCTCCCTTTAAACTTGTGATACATACAATCATCAACAATATTCATCTTGAAGCCAAATGAGTTTCATACCTTCTGGTAATGGGACAAGTTCCCAATAACCTTATTGTCTTGCATGGACTTATACTTATCCTATTGCTTCAATCCACTTTTGAGATTTAGAACCTTATATAGCTTGACGGAAGTTAACTGGGTCATCTTCCATTATATCATTATTTTCCTCATGTTCCTGAAGAAATACCATGTAATCATCCGAAATAGCACTTCTTCTTTCTCTAGTGGATCTCTGCAAAGTTATTGGCTCATGATGCATAGGTTCTTGAGGATCTTGAGTTTGTTCTTCATGAACAACCAAATCATCTTGAGTAAGGGGTTCATTAACAATGCATTGTGGAGGTTCCGAACTTACTTTATCAAAAGTAACTGTTTGAATCGGTTCTGGAATTGTTACCGATTCTTCCTCTAAGACAAAGTTCCTGATTTTATTCTTCCCCCCAAACTCAATATCCTCAAAAACGTAGCAGTTCCCGTCTCAAAAATTGTCTTTAATGTGGGATCATAATATTTATATCCCCTGGATCTTTCAGCATAACCAATAATATAACCACTTACTGTTCGGGAGTCCAATTAAACTAATTATGCTCACATTATATAAAAAATAAATAATATATATTCAAATAATGGTTTAACCCATCTCAAGACACCCAATGCACCATCAATATCAAGTCTTTGGACAGTAATATTAACTGCTAGAGGTATCTTATTGTAATAATCAAACATTGACAATAAAGCACGTCCAACAACAAACCAGTCTTTGGATTGATTTATCATCGACAAAGCAAATCCTTATAATTATCACATGTTTATCATTACAAGTGTGTATGCAATTCGACCAAATATTAATCTTCCTTTGGGCCGACTAATACTCGCATGAATATACACAAACACTAACATTCAATATTTTTCATGAACTGCCCAATTCAAGAGAAGTTACTTTGGTGACTTCTTGACTCAATTTGCTCACAAAAAATATTAAACTACCAAAAATTGAATATTTTATTTATATAACAAAACCAAATATTTAATATTTGCAAACTAATTCAAAAGAGAATCACCTCATTATAATTCTACTAAGGATGAACACCTCCCTAAAATCTCATTAGGGATGAACACCTCATTTGAACAAATCAAAGGATGAAAAAAGACCTCATTTTCCACCAATACATAAAGGATGAACATCTTCCTAAAATCACATTAGGGATGAAACGAGAGATAGTTCCGAGTCTCTTTAGCATACTCGCTCTAAAACCTTAAAAGGGAATTAAACAAGTAATCACTCGCACTCTAATTTAACATCAAATTTTCCTTAAATTCCTAGGGGATAGAGGCAATAAAATAATAACAGCCAAACATGTGGAAACATTCATCATTTACCTAAGATTCTCTGTGTTGGGAACTCCACAAACACCACCCCCAATTCCAAACCCATAAAATTAAATAAAAACAAAAGATTAAAAGAGAACAGAGAACCCAATACAAGAAAAATTGAAATATGAAACATTGTTTCTTTCTCAGTAAAACTTGAAACTTAAACTGAAACAAAAGTGAAAAACGAAGAAGAAGAAGAATCCATAGCTTCCTCCACGGTTCCATCAGCAAGCAGAATCAGATTGAGGATGTTACCCTCAAATATAAATTTTAGGGTTCACAAAAATTAGAGATTATCATCCACTTAGGGTTCATAAAATTGGGTAATCTGAATTGTTTAAAACAAAATTAGTCCTAATTTTCATAATTAGGGTTCTATAAATTAAACAGACATGAATCAAATATGGGCGGCTCTGATACCAATTGTTGGAAAAACAATAATAATAATAATCCTGATTTTGATTCTAACAATCAAACATAAACATAATCCCATACTGATAAACATGCTGTAAACTGAATGCGAAAGCGTACCTGAATTAGCCATAACGATGATGTCTTTGTAGAGCACTATATTGATCTTATGGTCTTCCACCTGAAGAGCACCTGTATTTCCCTCTTGATTTTCTCTCTTGATGGGGATATAGAGAAAGGAACGGGACTGATACTTACGTTCTGTGTGTGTGCTCTCAGAAGGGGACCATGACCCTTTAGATAACCAGAATTAGGTTAATTACTTAAGTTTTAGTATTTCCAATTTGGCCCCTCATCAAATTAGAAATTGTTCTATGGTCTCTACACAATTTTATTTTCATGACATATGCTTTTAGCCAAAACTTTAATTTAGTCAGATCACTTTATTATTTGGCTTAATAAATAATGACCTTAACACATTTAAATTATGTATCATATATATACATGACCCAAATTTTTCCAACACTTATCTGCAGTGTATTGCGCAAGTCCCTCAGGATACAACATGAACTTCTCAGAACATCCGAGGATCTCAAAAACTAGCAAGAAACTCTCAAAAGAGTAAATTAACCCAGGATCACAGAACGAATATCAGAGAAGAGAAGATGAGAGGGCTGTGTTCTGAAAAATGTGAAGTGGTCTCTATTTATAAGAGAAAGTCTGTAACAGTTATGAAAGACTTGGTAGTGGGTCTGTAACGTTCTCTATAATATTATCTGAAACAGTCGTCTGCAACGTGTGAGAGAACACATTCTCTAAAATGGTCTTCTGCAGTGTATGATAACACATTCTCTGTGTTTGCAATACCCCTTAGTTTACAACATATATAACGTAAATGAGTTCATTTTATATTTTTTCACGGGATAAGAACACCACCAAATGGTTTTTATGTAATCACATATCTAAAGTGTTAGTAATTATTTTTATATTATGTTAATTGTCGGTGTATTCATATTTTTTATAATATGAGAAAAGTAGCTACTGTAATTAAAATAAAAATCGTCATAACCCACATAATTATTATTAAAACATTAAAAAGTTAGACAACAAACAGCGATTCTATACTAGTTATCCATTAGATGTTTTGTTTAAGAAAATTAGTCTTGTTATTCACTAGGTACTCACTTAAAAATATAGGTGGATTATTTTTTATTTACAAATGTTTATAAATATTCACAAATGCTTTTTTAGTTTATTTTTAAATGTGACAAAAAAGCTATTATTCCAAATGAAATTATGATAAGAATATGGTGTGTACAAAAGAAAAACAACTTGAGTTTATTCAAGAATGAGAGACAGCTTCAACAGCAAAAACAAACATAATGAGATAATTATGATGCATGGTTTTTTAGTGTTTCCAACCCTTTCCACTTACCAAGGATCAAACCAGTAATATCCCCAAAATTGTGTGAAATTTTTTAAGTTCAATGTTTAAATATTTTGATGAATTCCATCATCCTTAACGTATAGGAGAAAAAAACACTATATTATAGTATCAATCACATTATCATTAGATGTGAAAAATAAGTTAGATTTTTCTGCAGGAACCTATAACCTCTCCTACTTAGTTTCAGATCAAAGTAAACTTTTTCAGAAAATATGCTAGAGTTAATATTTTATATAAATTCTATTTGGTTAAAATAATCAGAACTTAAGTTAGTAAAAAATATATATTTCAGTATTATTATTAAATTAAATGTGTTGTCATATATTAACTTGCATAAAGGTAAAATTTATAAAATTACTAAAAGATATATTTTGAATAAGCGTGTTATTACAAAATAGAGTTTTAAACAAGTAACTTATAATGTTAAAGGTTGAGCTTGGATAAGAATATTAAGATCTTTTTTATTTTATTTATTTATCTTTTTAATTATTATTAATTTATTTGCTCTGTCTTATACCTACAATTTTAAAATAAAATAAAAATTTAAACAAAATAATATAATTATAATAATAAAAAATTAATTAAAATATTATTATAACAATAATAAAACAAAGATAAGCAGTGATATTTTCTAATTGACAAAAAAAAAAAACAAGGAAAATAAAACAAATAGAAGATTATCTTGGATTAGGACCACATTATTATTATTATTATTATTATTATTATTATTATTATTATTATTATTATTATTATTATTATATAAATCGATAGAGCATAAAGAAAATAGTAAAAAAATAAAATATATAATAAATATAAGAAAAAACCAATTTAAAAGAAAAAAAATTATACAAAGATAAAAAAATATATTTCTTACTTTATATTTTTATGTGAGTGAAAAAAAAATTAATTAATGCTCTTATTTCATTAGTTTATTTATTCAATTTTTCTTTCTTAATTATTTATTATTTATATTTTTCTTAATGAGAAAATGAGTAATTAAAATTTTTTTATATTCTATAACATCGTAATTATCAAATAAGTATTTCTCACCTTATCAAAGGGTGATCATTAAAAAAATCTTTTATATGTTATTAAAAAATATTTTATGATTTTGAAAAAATTGTATATATTAACAATTAATTTTTTTCTCACTCCACAACTAAACCTGTAAAAACAAAATCAAAATAATAAAAAAGTGTGAAACTATTTTACACTATAAATACATAATTATTAAACTTAAAAAATTATCATTCAAATTTATTATATTATGTTAATAATTATTAAAATTTTAAACTTCAACTCATGAATTTCCAAGGGTTTAAATTAAACTGCTATCTAGAAAAGAAATGAAATGAAAGAATAGCAAATGCACTAAGCAACAACTCACAGAAATTAATTTCTGCTACTTTCCAAGGACTCTAGTAATACTTGAAAACACCTTCTCACTTCTCCCCTATATATTTTCTTCTTCAGCAGAGCGGGAAAAAGCGGCGCGGCGTATTGCCAAGCAGCGACAACCACCGTCGACGTTCCATCGTGCTTTAGGGTTTTCCGTTTCATCCATGGCGAACGTAGTGGATCAAGATCAGCAATGGCTACTCAATTGCTTGTCTGCCACCCTCGACCCCAACCCGGAGGTTCGCTGTTTCGCGGAAGCATCCCTCGACCAGGCCTCTCGCCAACCAGGTTTTGTTCACCACTTAAATTGTCATCGCCTGCAACCTAATTGAATGTGAATTATGCTATGTGATGTGAAAACCTTAGAGAGTGTCTGAGATGGACTGTTTTTATTTTCTTTTTGAAAACAAAAGTGTATTTGGCTGAACCAAATTGAGGCTTGTTTGGTTGTTTAGGTGTTCTGCTTGCGGTTAGTGTGGTGTGGTGTTTAGTTTATTTTTTTTCATCAAATGGTGGTAGCGTGGGAGTGAGTGTTTTGCAGTTGAGGACTTGAGGATGGTGATGGGTTTCGGAAATTGAGTTTGTTCGACAATGCTGTTCTTTTTTGTGTGACTAAAAGAATGAGAGCAGTGGTTTTCGGTATTTAGGAGGTGGAGGCATCTGCATAAGCATGTAACAAGGAAACGAGGATGTTCACTAGGGTGGCAGCTTGTTGAACGAGAATATATGACAATGATGATATGCCTCAATCTTGTGTTAGCATGGAAATTGTCATTCCTATATGGGAATTACATTGTCATACTTAAATTGGACTTATATCCTTCATTTTATTTAGTGAAGTACTCCTTGCTTTTTGTCTTTATCTTCTTTTGTAACGTGTATATTATTTAGCTTGACCATGGAGATGAAGACATAATTTGTTATGCTCATTCAGTACTGTTTTTACATGGCGAAAATTCTCAACATGGCTCAATGACGATGTTCCTATGTTAATTTCGAATTTTAATTTGTCCTGAAGGTTTTGGCAGTGCATTATCAAAAGTTGCTGCAAACAAGGAACTCGCGGTGGGACTGCGTCAGATATCCTATTTCATAATTATCACATACTGTGAATTTTTATTCAGAACCAAAATATTTCCCTCCATCCTTATATTACTTTTCTAAAAGAAATAAATATTTTGACATTTGCTGTTGTATGCAATAACTCTAGAGTTGACTTTTTCCTTGTCATCAAATTATCTAATCTTTAGATTAATTTGATGAAGACTTGTGCTTTGTTTCTTCCATTCTTTAGATATCTCTGGGGCCTTGTGGTTAAAGAAAATGTTTTCTGTTTTCAATTTCTTTACTTATATAAAGTACTTGTATATGAAATAGTGACAATGTTTTATAATCTTCATATTCCTATTCAAACTTTTGAAAACAGTTGACAAAGTGAAAATAATATGACATTTTTCTTACTAAAAGTAAAAGCAGAAAAGTTTTCTCTAACTAAATGCCCTCTTATTCCTTTAGGATAAAACAAGTTTTATGCTTTTTTGTTTGTTCCTTTTTTTCCATTCACATGTGAAAAACTGTACCAGGATTACAACTCAAATGTTTGTGCCATTATATTATTCATTTTCCTTCTTCCATTAGATTATGAACTTGGATGGCTTAACCTTCTTGTACTTAGCCGCAGTCCTTCTTAAGCAGTTAGTTAAAAAGCGTTGGGAGGAGGGTGAGGAGACCTTTGAACCTCCTGTTGTTTCTAGTGATGAAAAGGTAAGTATGCACTTATTTCTATTGAGTATTATAGAAAAGTAGATTTCTCAAAAGCTATTGCTTGAAAAAAATATTTTGAGCTTGCTTTAATTAAGATTATAGGGAAACTGATGAGATCTTTGAATCCGACGTAATGGACCCACTTGTGTGGCAGTTTGGCCATGGTCTTAAGATATGAAAGGTGTTTTCCAGAAAAAGGGATGTTAAAGAAGAAACAGAAGGAGAGGTTCTTATGTTATGTGGGAGAGTCTTTCTTCGGTTGCTGACATTAATGCCATATATTTCCTTCAATTTGATTATTTACTGAAGAGTGTTTCTAGTCTATGATATTACCAATTAATTTAGTATTAGGGATCTATTGCTTCTGTTTAGCTTTTTACTGGATGAACATTGGTCTGTTCATTGGCGTTTCTTTATAGAAAAATATCTTTCAAAATAAAAAATGTAAAAAAAATCAAGATTGGGCATTTTTTTAAACATTACTAACAATTAAAAAACAATTTCTGTTAATTTTTGTCCATAAGTTAGAAAGAGTAGTATAAATAAGCTCTAAAAACTATGACAAAATCAACTGTTGTCAAAGCTGTCCACATGCTGCTGTATTTTACCACCATTGAGCTTTAGGTCTGATGGACTTTTCCTTTTCATTAGATAAGGATGGAGGGTAATAACAAGGTTTCTATGCTTTTTGACTTAATTACTATGGGCTAGAAGTTGTGCTTGCGGATCTCATATATGGCACTCCAAATAATATTTAGTTTTCTGAACCTGAATTTCTGTAACATTAACTGATAGTTTTATATTTTTTTTCTGTAAAAGGCCATTTAGTTAAACTGATTATTAAAATCACTTTTCTGATGCTAACTAAATTTTGGTCCATCATCAGGAAATCATCCGAAGAATGCTTCTATTGGCATTGGATGACCCTCATAGGAAAATTTGCACGGCCATTGGTATGGCTGTGGCATCCATTGCAGTGCATGACTGGCCAGAGTTATGGCCAGATTTGTTATCATTTCTCCTAAATTTGATAAGCAATCAAACCAACCTGAATGGAGGTAAGAATTTCTGTCTGAGTTGGTGAATTTTGGGATTTTTTGTCTGAATGCTTGTGAAAATGCCTTTGGTTCAACAAGCACCCCACTTTGTAGAGTATAGAACACACATTTATGCCAGAAGCAGTTTTATATCCGTAAATTGCAAATTGTTTGCGTTATGTTTTTCTTTCATGCTGATGACTAATTGATTCATTCACTTTCTCTATTAGGTTTTCTGGAAATAATATTATGATCAATATGTTAATAAACTTTATTATTTGGTTATCTTTTAATAACTTTATTCTAGTGCATGGAGCTATGAGATGCTTGGTTCTTCTCTCTGCGGACTTGGATGATAAAATGGTTCCAACATTAATACCTGCTCTGTTCCCGAGTTTGCTGACAATTGTATCATCTCCACAGGTTGTATTTTTGTATATCTTTCTGTACATAGCAGTTGAATTAAAGCAGCTACACAAAAGATCTGGAGAGGATATATCTGTTATCAAAAGTTTACATTATATCTTTACCCTACATTATCTCCATTTATATGTAGTCCTAACTAACTTTCAACTTTGCAAAGGAAGAGAGCAATTATGTGAATTAACAAGTCTGGTACACTGGTTATGGATGACAGTCCTTTCTGTCTACCTTCATTTTGCATATTAGTTGTAAATTGTCATTTGTCAAAAATTTTGTCATTTTGGTAGTGCTGATTTTTGAAGTAAAATTGAAATATTGTACTTAATTAATTTTTTTGATAATTCATTTAAGTACTTTTCCAAATCTTAAATTCTTATTCAAAGAAAAAAAATGAAGAAAATAAAGGAAAATTACCACTTTTCTGTTTATATGGTAAACTGAGTCTCTTCTGTCTCACCTAGAACATATTTCTTATTTTCTCATTGCCATTCAGATATATGACCCATACATTCGATCAAAGGCCTTTTCAATAATCTATTCTTGTACATCTATGCTGGGGACAATGAGTGGTGTCTACAAGGTATTTTGTCACTAAGTGACTATGAACTCTTCTTGTGTATTGTTGGGTTAGTGGTTTTTCTTTTAAGCTAACTATTAACAGATCTAGATGTTCTGTTTAGGCTGAAACAAGTTCTCTGATAGTTCCTTTTCTTAAACCATGGATGGACCAATTCTCTTCTATTCTAGAAATTCCAGTTCAATCTGAAAATCCTGAAGATTGGAGTATCAGAATGGAGGTTAGTCTGGTTCTTTCTAGTAATTCCCCCAAGCTATCTATATATCTATGTTTATATATAGTTATATACATGTGTCATGTGTGTATGTGTAGTGTACAAGCACACACACATGCATATATTTCCAATGTATAACATGATGTTGCATTTTTGTTTGTCAAGGTTTTGAAGTGCTTGAATCAGTTTATTCAGAATTTCTCAAGTCTCTTTAAAAATGAATTTGAGGGTATGTTTACTCCCAAAGTTCAGTTTCTAGGCATTGGTTATTAGCTCTTTAATTTAATTTCTTACGAAAGGCTTTTTACTGTAGTTATATTAGGACCTCTGTGGAATACATTTGTCTCTTCTTTGAAAGTGTATGAGAAAGCATCTATTGAAGGAACCGAAGATTCATATGATGGAAGATATGATTCTGATGGTTCAGAGAAAAACCTTGATTCATTTGTTATCCAGGTGATGATAGCAGCCAGCAGTTCATCATTTTGATTATTTATTTTGCATAAAATGACATTATTTTGTTAGATATATTTACTTCAGGGTTAACCGATTGACTTTTTATGTCATTAGTGATTTCTTCAATCTCCTTCTCAACCTTCTGTTATTTTGTTGATGGTCTGCCAATTCAGATATTTGTCAGCTAAAGGATATGTTACTGAATATGGCTTTCTATCTTGATCTCTATTCATTGATGCCCCTATCCTTGTGAAATTTATCATAACATTGGTTTGTTCGATTATCTATTTGTTTCTATGTTACTTATCAATGAGTAAATGAAGAAACTTAATAATATCATCCAATATGAAGGTAGTAAGATATCCATCAGTCACTCAATATGAATTTTTGTAATACTATATAGCTCAATTTTTTTTGTGCCGAAAAAATGTGTCTTAGTCTTTCTCACCAATTCCATTTTCGTTCAAAGTTATAATTATACACTTGTAGGTAATCAACTGGCTGAGATCTGTCTAAACTTGTGAAAATAAGGTTTGCATAGGGAATGCATAACTACTTTTATCAGGTAGGTTGTTAGTCAGTTCACCTATATGTTGTGTTCTGTTATACTAGTTTCTTACAGATGTCACTGTCAAGCTGTTATACTGATCCAGTCAACTGGATGAGCATCTGTAGTCTATATATGTAAACAGAAACTCATAACATGTAATTCAGAATAATCAATACAAAGTTTTTTATCTCGAGCTTGTTTTCAATATGCATGATTTTTTGTTTTCATTTCCTTGATTTTTTATAACAACTTTTGATTTATCGTTTGTCATCTAATCTTATTATTTGCAGCTATTTGAACTCATGTTGACCATTGTGGGTAACCCAAGACTGGGAAAGGTTTGGTTCAGAGTATTCTTGCTATCTTATTTTTTTGCTGATTGTGTTCTATTGTACCATTGCTTTGATCTGTAGTTTGCACTTCTATAGGTGGTTGTGGCTAATGTCAGTGAATTGGTGTACTATACTATTGCTTTTCTTCAAATGACAGAACAGCAGGTATAACATTTTTTTACTCTTTTCATTGCGCTTGTTCATTTTTGTCCTCATTTTGCTCAGTAGCACCTGATTGGCTTTCTGCAGATTCACTTTCTAACTTCTTTTTTCTATTTAAAATGTTGTGCTTGTAATTTAAAAAAAATGCTGTAGCTTACTTTAGTTGAGTGCAAATTGATCTTTCCGTACTCATTAATTATTTTTATTTTCTTATTTCATCATAAAATGAATGCCAATCCTTTTACTGCTTCATGTATCACTTTACAGCATATGTGCATGTTTATGAAGAAAATGATGTATTGAAGTATTCTCAAGGATTCCATTCTGCATGGTTTTGCACTAATGGGTTTTGGATTTTTTGGCATTTTCCCTTGCAAATTTTGTCAATGCTTTTTATGCACTTGAACTCGTTTTGCCAATGTCATGGAATGATTGACTAATCATGCATGATTTATATCTTATTGAAGTCATATGCCAGCATAAAGGTAAAAATTTCAAGATATTTATGACAATGATTGGAATCTATTCTATACATTAAAAAGTTATTTTCTTTTTTCTGAAATTTTGAAAAATTTTGCAATGTTGGAAATGGTTGAGGCTTTGGGTTTTGCATCAGTGTGACACATTCTAATTATCTATTTATATTTTGTTCATGAAGTGCTTTGTTTTGTTAAAATTTTTAAAGATTTTTCATAGTTCAAATTTTTGTGAGGTTTTCCGTAGTATGGAAAGGAAAATATTAATTTTATTTTGTCCAACATTACTGGAGTCTAAAAAAATAACAATATTATTTGATATTAGCTTGCTCAAATACCTTAATCCCATAATATGAAAATAGGATTACGGAGTGGACGAGGTTCCCATCACTATGGACCTCCCAAAGTATGTATGCAGCCATAACCCAATGATTTTTTTAGATTGAGTACTTACAACTAAGCTAAAAGCAATAGCGGATAGTGATAGGCACGAGAATAAGGAGAGTAAATGAAATGTATATTATAGAAGGAAATTGACTAGTAAAAAGTAGTTAGGCGGGTAGTGTGTGGATGGAGGAGACTTTCCGAGAAAGTCTTTAAATACTTTGCCTTAGGGGGTTGTGGGGGTATGTTGTTCTTAGTTTTGAGAGAGCTGACAGGGCAAACCCTGTGGGAAAGGAAACATCATCCTTTGTATGCGTAGGTCCTGGTACCGTTTATGCTTTCTTTGGGAATAATATCACGAGGAATATTCAATGTACTTAAAAATTGGTTTTAATCTTTCTCTTCTAACAAAGAACATAACATTTTGGTCTGACCTGCCGGATCATGAAGAGGAAGGAAATTATGGAGAATAGGGTGATTTCTTTAGAAAGATGGGCCAATGAACAAGGAGAAGTGATTGCAAATATGAAGTTGGATTTGGCTATTGTGAAAGATAGTTTGCAAGACATGAAGGAGATCAAAGAAATGTTATGAGATCTCAAGAAAAGTAAGAATTATCTTAAGGAGGTGAAAACTCTGTTAACAACGAAGGGAAAATGGGAGAGAGATATTTGTTCATGATAACAAATCTGATGAGAAAGGAGATGAGTGCTAAGACCTTGGATAAAAATGATGGATTTACCATCATTTGAAGGAAATGATCCACTAGGGTAGATATCAAGAAAGAAGTTTTTTGATGTTCAAAATGTCACTCCAAGAAAAAAGTTATGTCTGGAGGGGAACATGAGTCATTGGTTTAAATTTTGGAGACAACAGTCCAAGAATCCATCTTGGGAAGAGTTGACAACTGCTTTGAATAGGAGATTTGGAAGCAAAGACTATAGTACAACATTTGAAAGGTTAGTAAGTGATGAGACAAAATGATAAGGTGGAAGATTATATCCAAGAATTTGAATTCTTTATATCACAAGAAGCCTCCCTTACCCTGAATACGTTAGAAGAAGGGAGGAGGGGCGATGTTTTCATTGTAGAGGAGCTTACAGTCCTAGACATCATTGCCCTGAAAAAAACTTGAGGGTTATCATTCTAGTAGAAGAAGAGGGATCTGGAGAAGTTGAAGAAGAAGAATTTGCCGATTTTGAACATTGAGGTTTGACACAATCCAACACTATGAAACTCAAGAATAATGAAGGGAAGATCGGTTTTGATATTAATAGATAGTGGAGCAAGTCATAGTTTTTTCTCATCTAAGTTGGTAATTGTTATGGTTTACATGTGGAAACAACTCCATCTTAATATGATTGTAACTTGACCCATCTACCCTCTACCACAAACATTTTGTTGCACCCACAACAATCTTCTCGTCAACAATTATCCCATTGAGAATTGAACTTATGACCTTGACTCTGATAGCAATTGTTGTATTGATTGTCTTACCATTAGGCCAAAAACTATAATTGATAGTCAATGACACAATTCTTTCTACATAAGAGCATAGTTATTCAAATTCTTAGATTCGATTGTGACTTGATCCATTTGACCTTCACTAAGGAACAATTGATGCACCTTGCAACAATGGTTAGAGAGGCTATTTGCATGATTAGAATCTGTTTTAATCAGGTCCCGAAGTAGCAATAGTAGTACTCTATGAATTTTATTTATTTTCTACCCAAAAATATGATAACATTGTAAATTCTCAGCTGATATTACATGCATGAAATAATTATGTGCTATCAATTGTTCTTTACTGTGGTTTGGTCTAGAAGATGTATTTATCTGTATTTTGGAAGAGTGTAAATAAGGGAATATAACAGTGTCAATGATGTTTCTACCTGTCTCTTTTTTTTTTCCCAGCAATTAAATTCTTTTACTATTTTTATTACTAAAAGAGTTGAGCGTTCTATTTTTAGGTTCATACATGGTCTGTGGATGCTAACCAATTCATTGCTGATGAAGAAGATGCCACCTATAGCTGCCGCATCTCTGGTCAGTATCTCCCTTGAAGAAACTAAAAATATGCTGAAAGAAAGAGGTTTATGTAAACTGAATATGAATTTGCATTACTAATGTTGAAGTGCACGTAAAGGTTTTTTATGTTGACTCAGTAGCTTGCACAGCAAGCTATGCTGACTAGGCTACATACAGTTCATCTAACTAACTGACAGCTCAGTTTGGCTCACTGCAGTTAGTTACAGCAAAAACTAAAGTGATTGTAACTGTAACTATTTACACCTTCACCCCAAGAAATTTTATTTGCCAGTTAAGTGTCGGATTGGTAATTATTTTAAAATTGGCTGATATGCTCTGAGTTGTGTTGCTTTCCTTCATCTTAATAATTTTGGTGGTTGTTATGATAATGATTTTAATTCTTGCCCTTATAATAAAACTTTCAAATTTTGATGAGTTTTATAATTCAAGAACACTAAACAACATATCAATCTATCGTGTTTCCAAATGAATGGACTGGATGCATTTTGGATTGGATCATTATGGACGGATATTTGTATATCCATTTAGCATCCACTAAAATCTTCATTGATTTTTGTTAGATATTTTTGTTGGTTTATTTACCGTCCATTAAAAACTAGATAACCCATTACCCTTCCAATTCATTAAATTTGTTGTTACAATTGTGTGAATGAACTGGACATATATATGGATGGACTAACTGAATGGATCCAAGTCGACCCTTACTTTTGTATGATTTGAATTCTTCATTTTTATTGTTGTTGTTGTTGTTGTTTATATATATATATATATATATATATATATACTATCATAAGCTTTATCAGAAAATCCTTCTTGTAGGTGTGCTTTTATTGGAAGAGGTTGTGAATTCTTTTGATGGTGAAGGAATGTTGGCCATCATAGACGCAACAAAACGATGGTTCAATGAGTCTCAAATCAGAAAAGCAGCTGGCAATGCAAGCTGGTGGAGGGTAAATACAGAATGTCTACTCTCCTTGGATCTAGAAACTATCTTATGTTTAGTAAAACTGATTGAGTGGCTAATGGAGGCTACTTTTAAAATAGTACTTTTTCTCAATCCTGTTTTTTCTGTTGTTAGTAGCTCTTCCCTGTTATGTATGTTACTGAAAAAGTAAAGTTCCCATAATCTGCACTCAAATTTCACGATGCTCTAACTAGAAAAAAATTATCAATGTCCGTCCCATGGCGAATTGTCCACCTGTACAGCTAATCACTTTTTAACACAATTTCAAGTGCTACATTAGTGCTACATGTACAAATTAGTAATTTTATACTCCAATCTCCATTCTGATACTCCAATCTTCAACAACCTTAGACACTATTAACCACTTATAAATTTAACCATTAGTGCTACATGTACAAATTAGTAATTTTATACAATCATTAATCTACTTTAACCACTATGAGGCAAAACTAAAGACCATTGGATATTTCAATAATCTTGTGACCCAGGAATCTGCATATGATTGATACAAGTTTTAGAGCTGACCTAGTTAGGTTTGCAACTTGTATATAACATTCTGTCCTTATTAAAAAAATAAAATAAAACATATGTGAGATATATTAGTCATCACTACCCAAGTGCAGATTGATAATTGTATATACACATTCATTTCCTCTTCACCACCTGCCAGACAAAGTTAACAGCCATTAGACGTTTCAATAGCCTGATGACACTATTAACAACTTGTAAGTGATATTTAATCATTACTACGATAAGTACAAATTGCTATTTGTATACTACATTGATTTATTAGAGGTACAGGTCACAAACTAAGTATTAGGATTTAGATAGTTTTTGGTGACTTAAGCTAACTTAGGTGTAGAACGAGTGTATTCATATATATACATAGATATATATATGCTTGTACATACATATATGCGCGTGCACAAACACACACACACATATACACACACACACATATATATATATATATATATATATATATATATATATATGTATGTATGTATGTATGTATGTATGTATAAGAAGTGATCCACTTACTCCAAATATAAGAGTTAGAGACTTATTTTTCATCTTCATAATTACTTTTCTTGTAATCTAATGGTGTAATTAACGTTGAAGAATGAAGAAGGCATGATCAACACTTGAACAACAGATTGGACTTGTGTAACATATAAGATTATTTCATGATCAATTTGTTTAAGAGATGCTAGTTTTTGGGAACAGTCATATAGGCGTGGGATATCATTGGCAAAATTACTGTGTTTTCTTCCATAAAGATTAATAGATCTTGAATGTACCAAGAGTTCCAAGAAACATGGTTCCACATATTAGTATAATATATCACAATTGAAGGTCAAGCTTTTGCCATGGAGCTTGGTCCTCGATTAGTATTGCGCTGACTTCATTTTCTAGGTGGTCAAGTTGTCCTTAATTAAAAAACCAAAGTTTAACCAATGTAACCAAGACAAGTAAAATTTACTGTTGAGCTTCAGAGTAAAAGTTGTTGGAGTCCCAAAAATGGAGAGGCAAAACCATATTTGAAGAAAAATAAGGACATCACCTTGGAAGAAAGGTTTTAATGTAAAATCCTGTTAGGAACCAAGAATTAAATAGAAAAAGAAAAGAAATATTCTTTATTGAATAGAATGAAAAAAACAAGAAATAGGAGAAGACACTCCTCCAAGGGTTTCTCCTTCACAAAGGATTTCTCCTTTTACAAAGAGCTAATGCTCAATTTACAAAAACTATCCCTATCCTTCTCTTATCCTTCACACCCTATTTATATCTAAACAACACCTTATGCAATTAACTAACTCATTAATATGCTAATTATCTTACTAACTTCTCTTTCCCCTTACACCCCTAAAATCAACCTTATCCTCAAGGTTGTATAGTAGAAACTTGATCCCATTGCTCATTTTCATTACCATGATCTTCATTTACCCTTCCTGTTTGCATATGATGTCTTTTTTGGTATAGAAATGAGAACCACTGGCTAATGCATTCAAATTCATATCAGGTGGGTTGGGTGGTGGTGGAAATGAGGGTGAATTTTGTATAATAGCCTTCAAACCTTCCTTCTGCATTGACACCATTGGAAAGTTATGATCCAGAGAAGCAATGAAATTTAATGTTAAAGGATCACCAAGAAAATTAAAATTCCCAAATTCTAATGTCATTGTTATTCCAACCAACTTCACTATCAAATTTGGATCCAACAACGATTCCTGATTCTTTATTGATGTAGCAACAACTTCCTTTGACATAATTTTTGCTTCTCTTGCTAAATTCTCTTCATTTTTGGTTTCTTCTTCACTATCAAGGATATGATACTTGATTACTGAGACTTCTTCTTTACTTCTATTTTTTTATTTCAAGAATAGAAATGGGTCATCATCCCTCTCAAAATTGACACTCTTTGAATCAAATTCCCCTTATATGCTTTCAGCAAATGTAGGTAGTTCCATCTTTCTTGGCCAATAACTAATCTCTGCTGCAATGCATTTTGACCCGCTTCCCTCCATTCTATTTTTTTCTTGCTCAACCAAATGTGGATCACCCTTTTCATACACTATGAAGAACACTGTGGAAGTCTCCATTATTTTGTTACATGTTTTAATCTTGGTTTTCTCTTCTTGCTTTATAGTAGTCAATCTTTCAAAGATGTGGCTACCATAGGTATCTTTGAATCTTTTTATCAAAGCTGTTGAAAAAGATTCCCAATCTAAATCCAAGTTATCTTGATACCAATAATAGAACCAATACATTGCTACACCCTCTATGCTCATGAATGCATGTTGCAGCCTATCAAAAGAATCAATTTCATGTACCTCAAAGAATTTTTCAGCCCTAGCAATCCAACCATTTGGATCAATTCCTTCAAAAGTTGGCAGCTCTACCCTCTTCATCCAGTGATGTTGCACCTTTTCTTCCCCACCATCCGAATCAAATTCCTCACTAATCACCGTCCATTGTCCTCTTCTTCCCCTATTTATAGAATTTTCACCTTTCTCCGAGCTTCTTTCTTTTTCCTTGAAGTGTTTCAACAAGTCTTTGATCTTGAAAATTATCTTGCATTTCCAAGATGATATTCCCATACTCGCTGGCCCATTTTTCCAAGGCAGCAATTCTTCCTTCCATGATTTCCCCTTTTTCGGATCCGGCAAGTCGGACCAATTGTTAGGAACCAAGAATTAAACAGAAAAAGAAAAGAAAGTTTCTTTATTGAATAGAATGAAAAAATCAAGAAATAGGAGAAGACTCTCCTCCAAGGGTTTCCCCTTCACAAAGGATTTCTCCTTTTACAAAGAGCTAATGCTCAATTTACAAAAAATATCCCCCACCCTTCTCCTATCCTTCACACCCTATTTATATCTAGACAACACCTTATGCAATTAACTAACTCATTAATATGCTAACTATCTTACTAACTTCTCCTTCCCCTTACACCCTAACATATCCACACTAGGATGAGGCTTGAAATTGAACCAACATAGGCCAACAATGGTGATGGTGTGGCACTATTTTGTTGACCAGATCCGTGTGACAGTACATGCTTGACAGGGAACCTTTGAAAACTTTCACGTGTGTGTGTATCCAGATATTTCTGTGTTTGAGACTTGTGGGGTTGGGTTTGTGCTCAGGGAGACTACCCAGATAATGAAGGTTGTTGGCACCTTGGGATGTGATAGGTGGAACTTGACTGGAGACAATGAGTGGGACCAAACCCACTCTACCAAGTTCAGTAACTAAGCACTAGGATTCTAAAAGCTTGAATGACTTAAGCTCACTCAACTGCCGTGTATATGGACAAAATGAGAGAAAGAAGGGAAAGGTTCAGACTGGAAGAACCTGCACATACATATGCCTTTTCAGAATACACAGAAAAGCTGCCTTTTTGTAACCTTTACAAGAGTACTCTGTCAAAAACCTAGCCCTTTTTGTTTCTTCTACCATGTGATGAGAGAGAAATCTTTCTTATGCATAAATTATTTCATAAGATTTTGATTTCTTTTGCTCCCATTTTATTTCTGTGTTCTGAAGTCTAAACTGTTATATTATTTTATATATTTTAATTTTGGCAGATAAGAGAAGCTACTCTTTTTGCCCTATCATCTCTTTCAGAACAACTATTTGAGACTCAGGTTTGGGATTCTCATTTCGGTTGTGAATTCTGATGTGTCAAATTAGGCTTAAACCTTTTCATTTCCAGCTTTAATAACTTAGGTTTTATTTTGCACTTGGGTGGACTGTGATGTATCTTGTTATTGATACAGGAAACCAGGATTGATACACGTGACTTGAAGCACCTGGTTGAGCAGATTTTCGCAGAAGACTCTCTAATAGGTTACTCTCAACTCTTTCCTTGCCTCTTTTATGCTTAGACTCTGGTTCAATGAAGCACCTGTGACTGTGGTACATATTTTTTAATCTTTTTTTTTTTTTTTTTGCCAGGTCCTCTTGAATATCCATTTTTATATGCTCGCATTTTTACTTCAGTTGCTAAATTCTCCTCTTTGGTAAATGACCCTGTCCTAAATTTTAAGATTGCCCCTCTCTCTCTCATGTCTTGTAACTGATTTTAATATTTTTACAGATAAGCAATGTTTTACTAGAGCAATTTCTCTATTTAGCAATGAAGGCAATTACTATGGATGTGTAAGAACACTTGGCTCAGTTTGTAATCTTTCTGCAAAATACTCTCTTCTAACTTTGAGTTTAATAGGCCTCCACCTGTAAAAGTAGGTGCCTGCAGAGCACTTTCTAACCTCATTCCTGAAACAACAAATGAAATTGTCCAATCGCAATTGTTGGGTTTATATTCATCCCTCACAGATCTTCTAAATCATGTACTCCTCAATACATATCCTTGTGTTATATATCTTCTACTATTGCTGCACGTAATAGCTACCAATATTTTCAGGCATCAGATGAAACCTTGCACATGGTACTTGATACATTGCTTGCTGCAGTAAAAGCAGGTTAGTGTATATATTGCTCAGATCAATGCACACACCTAGTGTGTATGTGATTTATAATTATGTCAGCTAGCTATTTGTTTGTATTTTGTTGAGGTTAGGCGCAATATTTCTTCTTTTATTTGATTTGATTCAGCTTGATTGTTTGAATTTCCAGATATTAGCTTGATTATATTTATAATAGGTAAATTTGCTTTGGTCTTGTTTTTTCCCCAAAATGATAAGATTCTCTTGTGCAGAATATGTATTATAATTTATAAATCATTGGGCCGAGATGTTTCTTCAAACAAGTTTTCACTAAAATCTGTCTCTTGTCTCCATTGCAAATGTATTTATTCCCTCTTTATTACTTATTATAGGTCGTGAATCATCAACAATAGTCGAAAACATGATTTCTCCTGTAATCCTTAATCTGTGGGCATCCCATGTTTCGGATCCTTTTATCAGTATTGATGCACTTGAAATTCTTGAGGTAATAATTTTATTTTGTTAGTATTATTATCTACAGAGTTACTTGGTTGTTTTCCTTGGTATCTTATGTTAGTCATGACTGATGTTGTCAAACATGTAGATCCTACCTTGAGGTAGGAATGTAAAACATGATATAACATGGAATGTTCCATCCAACCAATTTCAAGCTAGTGTAATTTCAAAAATCAGTGGTTTTAAGAAGTCAATCTTAGACAGTAATGTGTAGTGTGGCCAACCCCAAAACCTCTGAAGAGGGATAGAATAGTAAAAACCCTCTGAAGAGGGATAGTATAGTAAAAACCAGGACAGCAATTTTTCTATTTTTTTACAATTATTATTTATCATATTTATGCTTTATTCAACATTATTATTATTATTATTATTATTGTTGTTGTTGTTGTTGTTGTTGTTATTTAGAGCAATGTTTGGAAAAACTCTTTTGTCTTCACTTTAGCTAATTTTATGAAAAATAATAGGTTGATAAAATAAACTGGATGTTTGGGACATCACCTAAAATTTAATAAAAAACTTTTTCCCCTGAAAATTAAGTTTTAATTTTTTATTATATGATTATTTCTCAAGAATTTTTTTCCCTTTCAACGTTATATATTCTTCCTCTTATGTAACAACTACTTTTAGTTGCATCCAACGTTGCATCTTCAATTTTTTTTTCCAGTAAATTTATGCTAACAAATGTTGATAAAATTGATTGTTGAAATAATCAAAATTTCTATTTGCCCGAAACACACCCTTAAATTTAATATATTTAGTGTATTATTTTTTAATAGTTTATTATTACTATTATTACTTAATTTACTATGTGATATATTATTGTTTAAATAATTTATTATATTTTTTATTACTTTTTTTATTTAGTTTCTTGTATCATATTCTATGCTTGAAATAGAAAAAAGAGTTTAATTTTGTTTTTAATCCTTGAAATTTGAGGTAAATATGTTTTTGCTCTCCTGAAATAAAAAGAAATCATTTTAATCCTTAAAATTTGAAACAAAAGGATTTTAGGCCCCGAAGACTATCTGAGAGACTAAAAATAGTTGGCTTAATTACCTTACCCATTATTTATTTATTTATTCTATTCCATTTGGTCTCACTATTAATAAAAGATTCAATCAAATCCCCACTTTTCATCCAATAATAGTAAAATAGTTAACAAACAAATATTGACGGTTTTAATTTATGCACAATACTGTTATAATGAACGCAAATTGACGACTTGTACGACTAAGGACATCAATTGAACCTAAAAAAGGGTAACATTGTTGCATTTTTAAAAGTTGAGGGACTTTATTGAACCTTTGGAGGGTCACGTTGTTGCATTTTAAAATTGAAGAACTTGAATGAACCTTTTATTAATAGAGGAACCAAATTGAATGAAATAAATAAATAGTTGGATAAAAAAGGTAATTAAGCCAAAATAGTTTTTAAAAAATCATTTTATTCTTTCAAATTTAGTGTTTAGGACTAAAATTAGTTTTTTTGAATTTGGAAGACCAAAATCAAATTTACCTTAAATTTTTTGGACAAAAAAAAAATGGTTAAGCCTAGCTATAAATAAAATAAGTTAAACAAGACTCATATTGAAGGCCAACAAACCAAAAAAAAAAAAAAAGAAACTGTGAAAAAGGGTTATGGGTAGTTTTCTCTTATTTTGCAATAGTATTTTTATCTTTGTTGATGTCTCCTTTTTGAGTATCCCACCTTGAATCCCGCCTCCAGCATTGGTACACTTCTCTTACTCCTCTTGGTTGTGATGAAAAAGGGTGAAATTGTGAAAATAACAAAAAACAGTTTGTAGAACAACTCAAATGGTAGGGGTATGTGATCTTATACCTCCATTTCATCGTAATGGTCACAACAATTGGGAAATGCTGCAATTTTCAGTGGTAAACACACTGGTGACGTTATCGAATTGTGTAATGGTCGTTTGTGACAGAGATTGAGAACTCTGTTACATGATCCGAATCTATTATTTATCAAACTCTATATGGATTTCTAGGCTCATAACTGCTGCTGGCTTTGGAAACAATTATTTCAATGATTATAACTTTCTCTTTTGTCATCTGATTGTGTTTGTTTTTTTCCAGGCTATCAAAAGCATTCCTGGATGTATACATCCATTGGTTTCCAGAATTTTGCCGTTTATTGGACCAATTTTGAATAAAGTATGACTAATCAAAGTTAACCAAGTGTCACTGGTTAGTGACTTTAGAATAAAACATTTCTTATTTATAATGTAAATGTTTTTGTAGCCCCAAGAGCAGACTGAAGGCTTGGTAGCTGGATCATTAGATCTAGTAACAATGTTAATGAAGGCAAGTATGCTTGAAAACATGTCGACCTTGACCTTTGAGCTCTTTATATTTCGATTTTCTCATCTCAGTTCTTTGTAGCTATGTACAGAATGCCGCTGCTGATGTAGTAAAAGCAATATATGATGTCTCTTTTAATGCTGTTATCAAAATAATCCTTCAAAGTGATGACCATAGTGAAATTCAGGTTATCCTTTTTTGCTAGATACACACATCTTATTTTGATATTTATAATTTAAACTATTTCTGATTGGAACATAGAATTAAATATATGCATTGACATGATATCAACAGAATGCTACAGAATGTTTATCTGCATTTATATCTAGTGGAAGACAGGAAATTCTTGCATGGGGATCTGATTCTGTATCAACTATGAGAAGTTTACTTGATATAGCTTCAAGGTAGTTGGCAATTATTTCACATTTCTAAGTAAATCGGCTATTTATTATTGCTTCATGTTTGCTTTTAATTCCGTTTTGTTATTTCTTGATGATTGTGCCTTTCGTATTGAGCCTTCCTCTAGAATATGGAAAAGGAGAATACCAGCATGTGAAATGGATGACTTTTTTGACAGTCATAGCTGTTTCTATGTTTCCTGCTAAATCAACTTGTTACCTAAGTTTATTTTACCGAAGTATCTCTAAACACATGTAATACATAGATTTTTATAGAAAAATAAATTCAATTAATTTTATTGTTACCTTCCTTTGGAATGATTGTGTATACCATTTATGTGGCTAACAATGAGTGGAAGATTCAACTAAAATAACAAACAAAGCCTTCCCCCTTGGTAGCGTTGGCTGCATGTATAAAATGATGCCATAGTGTACTATTGTGGATCACATATGTTGAGAAGGGAGAAACCGAGAAGGTATATGAGGAATTTTGTGTGTTTAGTCCACAATGGAGCTATTCAATTTCTAGGGGAGAGAGCATATAACATAAATACCAAATATTTAGTTTCCTATTTTAGGCTAATAACACAGATATTGAATCAATCTGATTGATCCTACTTAAGATAAAATCAAAGAGAGAAAATAGATTTTAGAGGGCTAAATCACACCTCTAACATGATATCTTATTTATAATGATAAGAACATATACACTAACTAATAATTCCAACAACTAATTAATAATTCCAATAATCCTATTATCATAACTATAGGATTCTAACAATTTCTATAGACAAACTATTGAACTCCTAATTTTTCTTTAAGTTTCTCCTTGATATTTGGAAATTTTCTTCACATGTGCCTAAAGAACCTAAGGCAAGATTCTACCTTTTCCTTTAAGCTCGAATGATACCTTTTTGTCACAAATAAGACTCAAGGCACTCTTTCATTTCACTTAACCTGAATTCTATGGTTTACATCATCTCTTGTATCTGTGTCATTTTGTATGATGGACCCAGGATAGTATAACCGTAACTTGTGGTAAAGTATGGTTTCCAAGATTCACCTCTAATCTAGGATTATTATCTCTTGTTATAGTTACATTCCTGTACTCGGTCTTCTGCTTAAATTGAAAACTTGAACTTCTAATGCTTGGCTTCATATTTCTAGCTTTTCATCTAGTTCCTCTGGCTAATCTCTAACTTGAACCATATCATTGACAAAAGGCATGCATAATAGACTCTTGAATATGCTTTTGTAAGCACATCCGTACTGTGATAAAAAAAATAAGGGTTCAAACTTGATCCTTGACTCAGTTCCATAATTATCAAAAAATCTGCTATACCCGTGTTCTTTTCACACCGGTATTGTTAAAACTAAACTGGTCATCAACTCAATTAAATTTCCCGGTCAATAGTTAAACTTGTAAGTCATTAATTACTTACTAGTTTTGGGTCATATGTCCAGTTTCCTGTTGAATCCATAGCTTCATAGTATGGATCATTGCTTAATTACCCTAGAGTTTGTGCAATTTTGTATATTTCCTTTGTTCTTGTTGATAGGGATTAATGTGCTTCCCCACTCATCCAACTTATTCGATCATACAATCTTTTTAAACAACTTTGTGACACTAATACCTCTCTCCCAGACCCTTCCATAACGCATTGCGATTATTGTTCTGCCATATTGCTTTTCTATTATCCATTCTGTTGCAAAGCCCCCTTATTTGCGGTCATTCCTAGCCTCCGTTGGATCTGCATTAGTTGCAACTTCAAGGGAGGTGTTCAGTCTAATGTTGACTGGAGAAATGTCTCCAATAAAGCTTAGTATATCCTCACTTTACAAATTGGTTTTGTCAGGTTAAGTTAGATTTTTTAAGTCAAAATTCCAAAATAGTATCAAAGTTTGTCTTAGATCTGTTGGATCATTTGCATTGCCATGTCTAAGCGATAGCCTTAGGCATAAAGGGATGTGTTTGGCAAATTGCCTTAAGCCAAGCCTGCCTTAATTACAGCCTTTTTGTGGGTTTCCTTAATTGCAGCCTCAAGGGTACAAAGGATGTTAAACTATATAGATACAAGATAGGCTGAAAAGGGAAAGGATTAACAAAAATCAAGTGCTATTCTCCAGAGTTGAGCATAGGGCAAAAAGAAGAAAAAAAAGATCAACTTTTACTTCAGAATTGAAGACTAACTATTGTTGTAATGAAAACTTCGAAAAATAATTAGTTGCAACAACAACAAATCAAGCCCTTTCCTACTATGTGGAATTGGCTACATACAAAATACTACACTATAATGCCTTATTGTAAATAATAATAGGAAGTTAATTCCGTGCACCAGAAAAAAGAGACTAATTGTTGATTAGTTTAAGTAATCAAATTGGAAGAGGCTTAGTTTAGAACCGGTTCATCTTAACTCTCCAACCTTCGTTACAGTTATGTTGAAGTATTTATTAGATTAATTGTATCTTGTTGGGCATTTATGAGATTAGTTGTAGACCTAGTTCCTAGAATGCATCTGTTTATCTTCTCTAGGATTAATCATGTCTCTCTATTAATTATATCTCTGAATTTGTATTTTTATCTCCTATAAATAAGAGAACACAAGATGATTTCAGGATCTCAAAATCAGTTCTTTATTTTACTTTTTCTATTTCAAGTTGGTATCAGAGCAAGTTCATCCCGCTTTGCCTGTCGCTGTTTTTTTTTTCCTGGCATTAATCGCTGCTCGCCGCCGTCCGCCGTCGTCTGCCGCTGTTTGTCGCCGGTGCAGTACTTCTCCAACGCCATTTCTCTCTCTGACACTTGGGTTAGGCTCGCCTCGAGGAGCGGGACCCAACCCCAGTGATCGCTTCCTCCGTCTTTGCCTCACGCGCAGCCACACGCCACCTTCATCCGCGGCTTCCTCCGCGCGTGAGCCTCACGCGCCGCCCTCCCAGTGGCTGTTTTGCTCCAGACCACCTCTATCCGGCTCGCCTCATCGCCCTGGTTCCAGATTTGCACTTTGTTTTGTGTTCTCTGTCACAAAACGTGGTGGGTCTGCGTTTTTCTCTCTGCTTCCATAGATAGCACGCTGGTCCTTTCTTGTTTCCTGGAAAATGTCAGGACCTGTGTCTCTATCTTTTTCTGGTACTCCGACTATAACCACATAAAAATTAAATGGAAAAAATTATTTGTCTTGGGCTGTTGAGCTCTGGTTTCTAGGTCAAGGAGTTCATGATCATCTAGAAGAAGATGGAAGTACTAAACCAGCAGATTAGGCTCCTCAATGGAAGAAACTGGATTATCAACTTTGTGCACTATTATGGCAATCTGTTGAACCAAATATTTTGAGCACTCTTCGATCCTTCAATACATGTAATTCTTTTTGGAAAAAGGCTCAAAATATTTTTGCTAATGATATTCAACGACTCTATGATTCTGCTAATAGACTAGCCTCCCTTAAGCAAGAGGATAATTCCATGATGTCCTTTGTTGCTGAAGCTCAATCAGTAGTTGAAGAATTAAAAATGTTCCTGGAGGCAGAATCATTAGAGGAAAGAAAGACGAAGCTGGATAAATTCTATATGGTAATGATTCTTAGGACTATGAATCCAGAGTTTAATTATGTTAGAGACCAGATTCTAACTGGAGAAGAAGTTCCTTCTACGGAGAGTTTAATCACAAGGCTACTTTGTGTTCCTTTTATCAAAAGCAAAAACAGTCAGGAACTTGCTGATTCTTCCGCCATGATTTCTGCTCGTGGAAGAGGTAATCACAGCTCTAGAGGACGTGGTGGGAAAGAACGTCCTCAGTGCTCTCATTGCAAAAGAATGGGACATACTAAGGAAAATTGCTTTGCTCTGCACGACTTTCTTGATAAGGCAGCTAATATCTCAAAATATGAAGTTGATGAGCCCAAGTTCTCTCATGAAGAGTATCAAGAATATTTAAGGATGAAATCAACCAATTTGGCTCAAGCATCTACAACACCAAATTCGTCAACCGCTTGCATTTCGCAATCCGTGGAAAGTCAAAATCTGTGGATTATTGACTCAGGTGCTTCTGACCACATGTCTGGTAATACCTCTTTATTCTCCTCTCTTTCATTTCCTAAAACCTCCCATCTCATATCTTTAGCAAATGGATCTAAAGTAGCCTCTAAAGGAATTGGTCAAGTATCCATCTCTTCTTCTTTAAACCTTCAAAATGTTCTTTGTGTTCCTTCTTTTCCATTCAGTCTTGTTTATGTAAGCCAATTAACCAAATCATTGAATTGCTTAGTAACCTTTAATGCCAATTGTTTTGTTATCCAGGAACGTGGTACAGGTCGACTGATTGGAGAAGGACATGAATCTGGAGGCTTATACTACCTTAGGACTAAATCATCTGTATCTTGTGTTGCATCCTTATCCCCAAATCTGTTACATGAGCGATTACGGCATTCTCATTTAGCAAAATTGAAAAAAATGGTTCCTGAACTTTAGAACATTCAAACTTTTGAATGTGAATCCTATCAACTAGGGAAACATACCAAGTCATCCTTTCCAAATCATTCTGAATCTAGATGCGATTTTGCTTTTAGTATTTTTCATTCAGATATATGGGGACCTAGTCGTGTTTCATTTTTTGGTTTTAGATATTTTGTTACTTTTATTGATGAGTTTTCTAGATGTACTTGGGTTTATCTTATGAAAGATCGTTCTGAACTATTTCTTATCTTTAAGTCTTTCCTTAATGAAATCAAAAGTCAATTTGGAAAAGTAATCAAAGTTTTACGAAGTGATAATGCCAAATAGTACTTTTCTAATGTCCTAAATTCTCAAGGCATTTTACACCAGTCCACGTGTCCTCACACACCACAGCAAAATGGTATAGCAGAACGAAAAAATAGACATTTGGTTGAAACTGCACGTACCTTATTGCTTGGTGCCAATATGCCTATTCATCATTGGGGAGATGCTATTCTAACTGCATGCTTTCTCATTAATAGAATGTCATCTTCTTTTGGCAATAAAGTTCCACACTCTATTCTATTTCCAAAGGAACCAATTTTTCATGTTTCTCCCAGGGTATTTGGATGTATATGTTTTGTTCATGACATGTCTCCTGGCTTAGATAAACTCTCACCTAGAGCTATCAAATGTGTCTTCTTGGGGTATTCTCGTCTTCAAAAAGGATATCGGTGTTATTCTCCTAAAACCAAGAGGTACTACATGTCTGCTAATGTCACCTTTTTTGAATCATCCTCCTTCTTCCCTTATTCTATGCAGGATATTGATTCTATCCAAAATGTTTTTCCTGTTCCCTTAGTTGAATCATTTGTACCTCCTATTCCTGACACCCCAAATCCCAACCAAAATACTTTAGAATCATCATCACAACCTATAATCACCTATCAACGCAAGAACCAGGTGAAAAATCCCATTCCCCAAGATGAGCCATCCATAACAGGTCCTTCTCCATCATCCTCTAATACCACGGCTCCTGATAACGATGACTCCAGTTGACCCATTGTCATTCGCAAAGGTACTCGTTCTACTCGTAATCCTCATCCTATTTACAATTTTCTTAGTTATCATAGATTGTCTCCTTCCTATTGTTCTTTTATTTCCTCTGTATCCTCTATTACAATTCCCAAAAATGTGGTCGAAGCACTTGATCATCCTGGATGGCGACAAGCTATGATTTCTTAAATGCAGACTTTTGATCACAGCAAAACATGGGAGCTCCCTTCGGGAAAGAAAATAGTTGGTTGTCGTTGGATCTATGCTATTAAAGTTGGGCCCAATGGTTAGGTTGATCGTCTCAAAGCCAGGTTAGTGGCTAAAGGGTACTCTCAAATATATGGACTTGATTATTGTGATATTTTTTCTCCTGTAGCCAAAATGACCGTTGTCCCCCTGTTCCTTGTCATGGCCGCCATTCGTCATTGGCCTCTTCATCAATTGGATATTAAAAATGCTTTTTTGCACGGTGACTTAGAAGAAGAAGTTTACATGGAGCAACCTCTTGGATTTGTTGCTCAGGGGGAGTCTGGTTTGGTTTGTAAATTACGTCGATCCCTCTATGGCCTAAAACAGTCTCCACGTGCTTGGTTTGGAAAATTCAGCTCTATTGTTCAAGCTTTTGGATTAAAACGCAGCGAAGCAGATCATTCAGTGTTTTATTGTCACACTGCCCCTGCCAAACATGTTTATTTACTTGTGTACGTTGATGATATTGTCATCACAGGGAATGATGCTGCTAAAATATCTCAGCTAAAAGAGCACTTGTGTAGTCATTTTCAAACCAAGGATCTTGGAAATCTAAAATATTTCTTGGCTATTGAAGTAGCTCAATCAAGAGAAGGTATTGTCATCTCTCAAAAGAAGTATGCTCTAGATATTCTAAAAGAGACAGGTATGATTGATTGCAAACCTGTGGACAGTCCTATGGATCCAAATTTGAAGTTAATGGCAGGACAGGGTGAAATTTTCTCTGACCCAGAAAGATATAGAAGACTGGTTGGGAAACTTATTTATTTGACTATTACTAGACCTGATTTGTCTTTTGCAGTTGGTGTTGTCAGCCAATTTATGCAAGCTCCTTGTGTGGATCATTGGAATGCTATCATTTGAATCTTAAGATACATTAAAAAAGCTCCAGGACAAGGTTTATTATATGAAGATAAGGGAAATATCCAAATTTTTTGGTACTGTGATGCTGACTAGGCTGGATCTCCTATGGATAAGCGTTCCACTACAGGCTATTGTGTTTTCTTTGGAGGTAATATCATTTCATGGAAAAGCAAAAAGCAAAACGTTGTTGCCCGATCCTCTGCTGAAGTTGAATATAGGGCAATGGCGTCTCTTGTGAACTTGTTTGGGTAAAATAATTCTTGCAAGAATTGAACTTCTGTGAGATTCAATCTATGAAGATGTATTGTGATAATCAAGCTGTTCTTCACATTGCTTCCAGCCTAGTATTTCATGAGAGGACTAAGCATATTGAGATTGACTGTCACTTTATTCAGGAGAAGTTGTTGACTAAAGAAATTTGTACTGAGTTTGTTGGTTCCAATGATCAGCTTGCAGATGCATTAACAAAATCTTTGAGAGGACCTTAAATGGAATTCATTTGTTCCAAGCTTGGTACATTCAATTTGTATGCTCCAGCTTGAGGGAGAGTGTTGAAGTATTTATTAGATTAATTGTATCTTGTTGGGCATTTATGAGATTAGTTGTAGACCTAGTTCCTAGAATGCATCTGTTTATCTTCTCTAGGATTAATCATGTCTCTCTATTAATTGTATCTCTGAATCTTTATTTTTATTTCCTATAAATAAGAGAACACAAGAAGATGATTTCAGGCTCTCAAAATCAGTTCTTTATTTTCCTTTTTCTATTTCAAGTAGTTACAAGTGGGGACACTGTTTTCCAATTTATTTTAGGTTTTCTGCTTATGTGTGCATGTGTGGGTGTATCTGTTATTCTCCGTTTCTGATTGCTTGCATGATTTCTTGTAAATTTGGAACAGACTACTAGACCCGAAATTGGAAAGCTCTGGGTCTCTCTTTGTTGGGAGTTACATTCTTCAACTTATTTTGCATTTACCATCACAGATGGCAGTACATATACGAGACTTGGTTGCTGCACTCGTCAAACGCATGCAATCTTCTGAAAATGCTGTCTTGCGAAGCTCATTGCTAATTGTTTTTGCTAGACTGGTAATATAGCCAATTTTTCATATTAAATTCTATTGTCTTTTTCTGGTGGTAATGGTTAACGGCCCTATCTCTATTTTTATAAATAGTCTTCAGAGGTTGAAAGCAAAAAGTTCTAGAGATGGTCACTTGAATCATTCTAATGTCTGCTTCTTTCCCTCTGTCCGCATGGATAATTTTCATAAATATTACTTAATATTCAGGTACACATGAGTGTTCCTAATGTTGGACAATTTATTGATTTGCTGATCTCAATTCCTGCGGAAGGACATGCTAATTCGTTTGCTTATGTAATGTCAGAATGGACTAAGCAGCAAGGTGAGCATCCTTATGTGATTTATTTGGTATTTTCTATTTTGCAAATTATGAGCTTGTCCACTACATAGTTTGTCAGTAGAATTGAAATATGTATCTGTAACTGCTTTTTAGCTGGAGTTATCCTTGTCCATGAATTGTTGGAACAATTATTAGTTTTGACTCAACTGTTTAAGGCTGTGTTGGAATGAAATATAAATAGTTGAGGAGATGGGAATTTAAATGTTTAATTAGGTGCCTAGATATTTGTTATAGCCAATTCTGAAACTAATTGTTTCTGTCTTCTCACGTAGTATCTGAGCACCCTACCTAAGTGGGCTTTCCATCTGTAATAAGTTTGCTGTTGAACTTGACTGTGCTCTTGAAGTTGTCAGACAATAAAAAAGACAGCTAGAATTTTCCAGCAACCTTTTCTGGTGATGGTCATATTTTCCGGCAATCTTCGAGTGACTCCTATTTTCTAACCACCTTTCTGGTAACTGTTATATTTTTCTCGACCACCATTCCCATCTATGCTCACTCTGGAAGTGGAGGTTGTGCATCCATCCCATTTACGAGAAAAACCATTATGTACTTGTATTTCGGTTTATTTAGGTATGCTTCCTCTTTCTTCATGTGGAATAATGTCTCAAAAAACATTTCCATTCCCCTGGGTTCTTGACCTAGGAGCCACAAACCATATGGTCACGTGATCCCTGTGCTTTTCCACTTATTATCAGCATCCCAACAACAAGAAAAAGGCAACTGCAGGTGGCTCCTACTTTAACCTAATAGGGTGTAGAGAGCTCTACCTTTAACCACAAACGTGTGTCCTGCTGGTAGATATGAAGTTGTGAGAAGCCCTACCATCCACTAACACTAATACTCTCTTTGTTGCAATCGGTCCCCATAATACAATGGATTTTATTAAAGTTAGCTTAACCAAGCTCAATGTTAACTGCCTGAGCTTCATTTCCTATAATATTTCTTCTCTCTCGTCTCCTTGATTAGCTCTAGTACCGGTATCTTCTTCCTCAATTAGCATTATCTTTATATGCTTATTCTTATGCGCATAGGGTAGGGAAAGTTAAACGTACACCTTTCCTTCTTTCATGATATTCCATGCCCAATTGAAATTTGGTTTCTTCCTAGTTTTCCCCATTGCTTGTTGTATTCACTTTTGTCCCACTGCTAAATGTGGAGGCTCTATTGCTTCCCCAAGACTCTACTCTTTCCTGCGTCATTCTTCCTTTCCTCCTCCTCCAGTACTCCCTCTAACAAAACTATTGGTGCATTTTTCAACCCATCCAGATACATTATCTAATATATATAATGATCTAAACATGTTAAACAGAGTGAAAACATGTTAAGATCTACATAAAAAGAACGCTGGTGCTAAATTTTTTTCAAAGCACTAACCTCCAACCATGAAGAATGGCATATCCTTAGTTTTTGGTTTTTCCAAGCTCTCACTTCACTGTAGATGGTGTATCAGATTTTTTGAGTGTGAAGCTTAGGGACTTTTTATAGACATCTTGTAGGTATTATACCATAAAAAATGCATTTATTAGCCATTATCACTACGATGGTCATTGAAATTTTAACCTTATGACTTCAAAATGTTTAAACCACTAAATAGGATTAATCACAGATTTATTACCTTTTAGTAATTATAAAAAACCCGTTATCATCTTATCTTTAATTTTCTATTTATATATTGAGATCTTGTTTTCATAAAGGAAAAGAAACAAATATAGGTGAGTGTTTCTGTTAGGAACCAAGAATAGAAATGGGAAAGTAAAGAAAGACTTTGTGTCACTAAATCACTCTAACTAAAAATTCTAATTTCTAACTATACTAACTCTTTGTGCGTGAATAGTCTATTATTTTATGTGAAACTCATGTTTATGTTACTGTTAGCTCTGTCAAACATGAGAGTGATTAATAAGGAATGCTTAGATATGCATAAACAAGATCAATTTTCTTCCTTGTGATATATGATTGTAGGTGACGTACAGGGAGCGTATCAAATAAAAGTAACTACAAGTGCCCTGGCCTTGTTGATAACCAGTAGGCACAATGAATTGGAAAAAATACATGTCCAAGGTCATCTGATTAAGGTATTACTGTTGTATGATTTACCTATTTGCTCTTTTTCTTCTTCATCCGGGAGGGTGGAAGTACTTTTGCTGATTTCCTGAACTTATTGTCTCATGAAGTCTGGTGTGGGAATAACCACAAGATCAAAATCTAAATCAGCTCCAGATCAGTGGGTAATATTGCCACTCCCTACCAAGGTAATTCTTTTTTAGTATCTATGGTGCCTTTACGTATGGAGGATATCTAACCATCTCTAGAGGTTCGTTATTGGCATGTGTTCTAAGTCAAATTGTATTAAGAATTGACAAAAGAGCCTATGTTTTACGGGTCAATGTCTAAACAAAAATTATGATCCTGCTACAACAGAACAGATCTAGGTATAGGCCAGAGGATCAATACTGACAGATGTTAGTTATAACTGTTCGACAGTTATAACTGACAAACAGGAGAGCAATCAAACTTATTAAGGAATATACAAGGGAAATATCTCTAACACCCCCACAAGCTCAAGGTAGGTGAGGGACTACTGGTTAATAAGCCAACTTAAGCTTGGTCCTGATAAATAAAAATATAGTTGGATAAAGGAGTATAGTTCAGGCTAGGGGTTTGCTGCACAATCAATTGCTTAAATAGACTCATTTCTCTAACATAGAAAATATCTATTCTGGGCAAGCAAAATAGGGTTGTGGGGGAGATTCACTGCACTGAAATTATCACACTAGACCAACAGAGTGTGGTGAGGAATAGCTAGCTTAGTAAGTAATGTCTCAATGCAAAGAAGGTTAGTAGTTGTAGAAGCAAGGCTGTGATATTAAGCTGTTGTGCTTGATCTGCTGGCCACAGCAGTTTGTTTACGATCACTGAGATAGGTTAAATATGGAACAAGGTAGATGGTAGCACCAGAAATAGATTTGCGGTCATCAGAGTCAGCTTCCCAATCAACATCATAGAAGGCTGTAAGATATAGTGGTTGATGAGGATCAGCTGGAGCAATCTATAAGCCACAATGTAGATTGCCCTTAACATATCTTAGGATTCTCTTTAGGCAGCAACCCAATGAGACTCAAGTGGGGAAGACACAGACTCATAGACTCTGTTCACGTAGAGATCATGACATACTGAAGCACACCAACAACTGACCTGTAGAAGGATGGATTGGGTAGTAAAACTATATCTTGGTTTGAAAATCCAGAAACTGTAGAAGAGAGAGTTTTTGTTTCAAGCATATTAGTTTTAGCATGGAGATCCTTGATGTACTTTGTTTTGAGTCCTGAGAAAGGAGCTATTGGACTGAGGGCAAGGGTATATTTGGGAAATAGTCAAGATTGCTCAGTTGCTTGAGAGAACATAGGATCCAGCTCGTGAATGAGATGCTGAAATGGAGAGGAGGAGCTGCCTGTGCTTTGATATGATGATATCATCCTTAGACATGAAAAAGTGTACAGTGCAGAGTTTGTGATAGTAAATAAATAAAGAAGGTTCACCTTCGCTGTCTTTAAAGCCAATTGCATTAAAGCATTGCGTGTCTTTCAATCCAAGCCATTGGAACTTGTAAGTTGAAAATTTTGGTTGTCTGTAAAAGGAGACTACGGGTAAGTTTAATTTTTTTGGTGTTGTACAGAAACTGAGTATGTTCTCTCTATTTTGAATATCTTGCAGATAGTGGCTTCGTTGGCTGATGCATTAACTGAAATACAAGAACAAGTTTTGGTAGCTGATGATGTGGTATTTAATGCATATTGATGTGTACTCTATTTATACACTAATTAGTTAAGTTACTACCTAATATATACTGTATTCAGGATAGTGACTGGGAAGAAGTTCGAGCAGATGGTAATGAAAATGATAGAGGATTTCTTTATTCAATGTCTTCATCTTCGGGAAAAGCCACTGATGAACATCTCGAAGCAATGGCAAAAGTATTTAATGAGGTTTGGTTGAGTTACAGTGGTTGTCAACCATGTTAATTTCTGTCCTATGCAATTATATCATACTTTATGCTGAAATTTATCTTGTTTTCCTAAACTTGATTCAAAATTACAAGGATCGAGATGATCAGTATGAAGATGACCTTTTAAGTGTAGCTGATCCTCTCAATCAGGTCTGTCATCCGGAGTCTATTTTATTTATTCAATGTGATACTCTCTAACTTGCATATTTATTTGTTAACAATTTACAATATGGTTGCAACTGACAGATAAATCTGGCAAATTACCTTGTTGATTTCTTTGTTAGCTTTTCTCAGTCTGACAGACAGCTCTTAGATCACATTTGCGAGGTTATCAGAGTAATATTTTTCATTTAGTTCACCTTGTTGTACAGACGATTTTTACTTAACATGTGTTATGTATCTTGGCCTGCACTGCAGAGCTTGACTCGGTCTCAACGAAATGTCATTCAAATGATACTGAAGGGATGAGAATTTAGTGGGCAATCATCGAGTGTTGTCTCAAGGATGGATTGATAAAACTTCAAAGAATGAAACAGAGATGGTTGGAAACCAATATTTTCCAATATTTAGGTTGGGGATGTCTGCAATTCTGAAAGGTGTTTTCCTTCTGCTGCAGTGGTGATGTTTTGCTTTTAGTTAGTCTCTGCCCATCTATAATTCACCATATCATTTGTTTGTATACCAACCTTGTTGTTTATTTAAAAAATGAAAGAAGAAACATCAGTTGGTAGCATAATGGTGCATTAGAATTTCATTTGGATTGGTTTCTTCTTGTTACTATTCCCTGTCAGAAAATTATTTCTATTTTCTGTTGGAAAATTGTTGCAGTCTAGAGTATACCCAGCGTTTTAAAATCCTAAGTAGCTTTCATTAATGTGTTATTAGAGTTCAACATCAAATGAATGAGTGATGGAATCAAATTCCTCTTGATGAACATGAGTTCATTTGCAAGAATCAATACATTCGTTGTGGTCTTAGAATAGCATAAAATAGTTTTTAGACGCACCAATTTCTCTTTACCCTCTCTATTAACACATTTATGTTGTTGTCTATAAAAACTGTATTATAGGCATGGCAATAATCAATTTTGATATACCCTATGTAAAGATTACTAGGTAAATAATTTCTATTTGACACCATCTTTCATGAATTAAACTCATTCATTAAAGGAACAATAGGATAAAAAAGGTGATAAGATTAATTTTCATTTTCATCTCATAAAGACTATATAGGTGTCGTAATCATTTTTATCCAGATGGGAGTCAATTTAGGTCCAACATCTATTACCAATGGTTGATAATTGTCAATAATGGTCAAACATTTTTCTTTGAACACTGTTGAAATTGCACATATGAATTGTCCAATGTTAATACGTCCTCGAAGTCTTTCTTACACAGAAGCACATGGACATCTTAAAACAGACTGATATCATTACAATAATAAATAAGTTAGTATAATCATATTATATTAAACCGATTATATAAAGTTGAATCAGGTATTTCATAATTTTTAATATATATACTTAATTAATAATAACTAAAATTATAAAATTATAAATATATATTTATTTTTATATAAAAATAGTAATAAACAAATATTAAAATTATTTTATTATAAATATAATTATTTCTTAAAAAATAATATAAAATACAAATTAGAAATTCAATGAGAAGGAGGATTAAAATTTAATTTATAAACATAACGAAAAGAAAAAGCGGTTAAGAAATTTATGGAAGAAAAAACCCACCTCACGCCGATGGCGACCTCAAAAATCATTGATTCATTTTCTGGGTTGCTTTCTGACGTTGAATCAATGAATAGTATGAAATGGAATGGAATTATTGAAATAAGAAGTTTTTATGTTTAAATAATGAAATTCTACTTTGAAATCGGAAAAAGAAGAAAACTAACTAAATGATTATACATAAACTAGTATTTTCTCAATTATTTGTTATATAAGTGGTACTAATTGTAAAATTCCTCTTCAAAACAAAAACATCATAATAAAGTCTACAAATTATTGTTACAACAATTTTACACGATCTTGCATAATGAGCGTAAAGCAGAAGCGACAACCATGATATTTTCACCGTTGCCTCACTCCTCAGCGTAGCCACCATCTCTCACGGTCATCCTTTTTTGCAGAACAAAAGTGAAGCAGCAAAACCTCAGCTCCACAACTGGTGACAGGCCCATATCTCATCATTCTGTTCTCCTCTTCTCCTTCTCCAACCCCAGAATCCACGTCTTGCTCTGAGCCTGGGATGAACTCATGATGGAATCTCCTCAATTCTGCTCCAGTGTTTATGGGTGGCTCAGAATCATGAAGCGTGCAAAAGGGGCTGTAGATGATAAAATCTAAGACCCATTTGAGATGAGTGTAAATTAAAGATAGGAAAGATAGGTACTTGAGCATGTTGAAGGTTTAGGTCGTGCTTTTGCCCTGACCAAAACTTTCAACCACGTGGGAGTATTTATAATCCTCGTTGCTCCCCAACTTCAATGGCCACTAATTAAGTTAAGATACATACAAATTCATGTTCGGTAAGACAGAAATATTGTTTTCATACGGAAATAATCATCACCCCCGACAACCAAAATCCAAATAATAAAAAATTACAAAAATAATGTTGGATAATGTAAATGTGAATCAAGTTTCACGTGAAAAAGATGAACGATATATAAAAAGATATATATAGAAAAAAAATATGACTGGTAACCTAATATTTTAAAATTTTAAATTAAGAATAGTTTCAATCTCGTATATAAATTAAGTTTACGTGTGATTGGTATTGTTTTTCTCCCATTCAACAAATAATCATAACATTAATTTTAATTTAACGTACAAACTGGTCGATGAGATACGAAATATAAAAGTCAAATCAAATATATAAAAAAATATCTATAAGTAATTATTATAAAGAGTAATAATTTCAAATTTAAAGAATAAAAAAAAACTTCGATAAGATATGAACAAAAAAAAGTCAAATAAATACATAAAAAATATCTAAAATAATCAGTGCATCAAAGTAATACTTTAAAATTTGATAAATAAAGTAAAAAACAAATTATAATAATGGTACGAAAAGCTTCAAAAAAAAAAAAACGAATATTGCAAACATGTTGTCGAAATTCTCTTCTTTTTTCTTCGAGGGACTGTGGAATTTTTTTCTCCAGAAAACCCCATTTTCATTTAAACGAGGTAAATGAGATAAAATATATTTAACTAATTTAAATTTTTTTAATTTCATAATATACTAACGTATATAAAATTTGTATTTAGTGTCTCCTAAGAAAATATACATAAATCTTTTTTTTTTCTTTTTCACTCAGTATTTAAGGAAAAAAAGGAAAAAAGAAAAGAAAAGTATAATATATTTATTTTACAAAGACGAGAGAAAGATTATTTTGAAGAATTATTTTATATAATTACAAATTTAATCATGTATTTACTGGAGTGATTAATATATGAAAATAAGTAAAAAAAAATATTTTCTTTGGTTGATAAAACTACTCGTATAATTACCAAATATTTTCACATATTTTATTTTTCTCTTGGAATATTTTAAATTAAATCAAAAAATAGATTGCAATTCAAATTTTTTAAATATATTATATTAAATAACAATATAAATTTTTCCTATCTCAAAATTGGAATTCCTGTATAATTTAATAAGTAACCTAAATTTTATCTTAAATCACTGTTGAATTACTTTTTATCTATTTTGAAACATGATTTTTAAATGAAGTGTTCATTGCACCAAGCCAACTTAGGTCTGTTAGTTTTTTAACTATATCTAGATGTTATATTATGTAATATGATTTGTTTCAATTTATTTATTTTAAGTAAAATTATGTCGAATGGTTGAATTGTTAATTTATTCATTTAAAGTGGATGCATATTTTAGTTTAATCTTAAAATTTAAATAAATTAAAATAAAGTCTTTAAAATAATTTTTTTATTTCTTGGGAATTTTTGTGTGTAAATCTTTACAAAAGTACAATTTAATCCTTTTAGTCATAAAGGAATCAATATAAAATAAAAAATAAATTTACTTTCAACTGATTATTTATCTATTAAACACTAACTAAAAAATACCATTCAACCTATAATTTTGGATAACTTTGTTAAAAAAATAAAATAAAATCATGCATTAATTTATTAATTTTTTATTTAGAAATATCTTTACTCTATTGAAAAACCAAATAATGTAATTATATTTTCATGGGTTAACCCTGACAAATGAACAAATATACATAATGTAGTCTAATGCTCGTGAAAGTAACATGCAACTTCTGATTTAAAATTAAATAAATAATATGTAAATTTGTTTTAAAAAAAATTACCTTAGCTAGAGTTATGTTGCATAACACTTTTATACAAAGTTATAATTGAAGTTGTATTACCTAAACCAATTTTATTTTTTAAAAAAACTATAAGCTAAAAGAAAAATACTTTACTGATTTTTTATTTTTATTTTTTGAAAAAAGAAAACTAACATAAAGTTGTATTTGACTGTATGATTTATTTAAATAAATAAAAAATGTCAGGAGGTATAAAAAAAATGTACTAAGATAATCCCATCATTTAAAATTGGAGTTTGTAATCATTTTAGTAGTGGTAACTCATTTATACGTTTTTGTCAAAATATTTATGTCCAAAACTTTGGTTGTTAAAGTGTGCTCGATGCCATTATTAGGTTAACTGTGATCCGTGCAAAACAATATTGCCCACTCAATTCGTGTCTTATCCTCTTCTGTTCTATCTCAATCAATATCAGTGAATTTTTTTAAATATTTCTATTCAATTTATAATATTTTAATATTATGAATTCACTTTTTTTTCTTCTTTTAAAATTCACTTTTAAAAGTTAAATGTGATAGGAAGTTTACTTTTTGTCAACATTCTTCTTTAATCTCAAAATGTATTATTAAAGTTTGATTTGCTATTTTAAATCCTTACTCTCTCATATTTTGACAACGTAGTATGTTATAGAAAAAAGAAGATTTATGATGAAAATATGCAGTATGTATGATATTTATAAAGTTATGTTCATTCTAAAGTTTTAGAACCTCGAAAAGTAAATAGGAAAAAATTTCACATAATTATTTTGATAGTGAGTGAAAATATATCATATTCTGGTTGTGTGGATTTAATTATTAGGTGGATTATTTGTTATTTTACTGGGTAAATTATTATACCCACATCCCTAAAAAATAGAAATTATGGTTATTATTCTCCCAATTTCTTTTTTTAATTAGTCATCTGAACAAAAACTAAATATATAAATTATGATGATGAGTAATTTAACAATGATGATCATCTCCTATGTATTTAAATATATTAAGTTTCTCACCTCTTAACTATAATGAAAAAATCATATACTTATTTTTAGTTAAATTAAATAAAATTCTTCAAAATAAACATATATGTGCACAATAAATAAATAAAAATATTAAAATGAAAAAGAATTTTATCATAGTAAAATAAATTACTGCCACAATATGTAATTAAGTCTAATTTATGTTATATAATCTTTAAAATTCTTTGGTGGCATGTCTTTAGTCAAAAGAATTAATAATCATCAACTCAATCCTAACATATTCAATGACAAATTTCTTTTCCTTATCAAGTATGACTAGATATTTAATATTGATGTGCTTATTTTGACTTCTACTTTATTATTCTTACCCATAAATATCGCAGCAAAGTAATCACACTATAATTTTAATGGCTTAACAATTAAATCTATAATTCTAAGCCCAAATATAAAAATCTTTAACCATACACCATGTGATATAGTCTCAAAACAAGAAACGAATTTAGCCTTCATGGTAAAAATGACACTCAATGTCTACTTTTTGCTATTCCAAGATACAACTTATTACCTTTTTTTTCAACTTTTCAATGGTCAACAATTAGATTACTCTAATATCTTTCCAAAATGTAATGTTAGGTCTTGTGAAAACATAAGCATACATAAGACTTCCAATAACTTAAACATATGAATTTTTTTTATCTATTCTTGCTCAAGATCATTTTTCAGGTATTGACCCAATTCAAGTTCATTACCCTTCATTCGTAATGAGACCTATGAACAATTTTTTCATGTTAAGCCTCTTTAAAACTGTGTTAATATAGGTATTTTGGGATAAATTGACAATACCTAGAGATTTCCTCTATGGATCTTAATACCTATGATATAATAAGATGTTTTACCCATATCTTTCATATCAAAGTTATTTGAAAGAAATTGTTTCACCTCATGTAGCATTCCCTTATCATTAGTTACAAACAAAACATCATCCACATATAAAACAAAAAAACAAATATTTCTCCCACTAACCTTCTGATATATACATTGATCCATAATATTCTCTTCAATTCCAAATAAAGAGATAACTTAATGAAAATTTTAAATATCATTGACATGAAGCTTTTTTTAATCCATATATGGATTTATTAAGCTTACAAACTAAGTGCTCGTCATCACTAGAGAAGAACCATTCAAGTTGTTTCATGTAAACCTCTTCCTCTAGATTTCCATTAAGAAAAGTCTTTTATACATTCATTTGATATAACTCAAAATCAAAATGAGCTACTAATATTGTAATTTCTTGTAAAGAATCCTTTTTAAACATAAGAGAAAATATCTCTTTGTAATCTATTCATTATCTTTGAGTGAATCCTTTAGCAACAAATCTTATTTTATGTCTCTCAATGTTACCTTGTGAGTCTTTCTTAGTTTAAAAAACTCATTTACATCTAATGGATTTTACACCATTAGATAACTTTATAAGATTAGACGTTATTAAATTTATATTATCTTTTATGGTGTTATACTACAAACTTAGTTCCTTAGAACTCATAGCTTGTGAAAATATTTTAGGATAATTTTTTACTCTAATGTTATAATCTTATTCCTATAAATACATTTCATAATCACTAAAATGACTGATCTTTTGATTTTTGTAGATCTTCTTAATGTTTTCTCACTATCTTGTTGAGAAACTTGTTATGCAATTGGTTGCTTAACAGGTTGTCCAACATTCATTTGTTGTTCGAATCACTAGTTATCTAACATGCTCTTGAATTAGAGGAACATGAATAACTAATAGTCTATCATTTGATTGAGAGAATTGAACTTTATAATGATCATTTTCAAAACTAATATCTTAAATTAAATCATTTTCACTAATTAAGTCATTCTAAAAAAAACTTTGCATTTCTTGATTCCATAACTCCAGTACTATGAGATGGACAATAGAATTTATACCCTACACTTTTCAACATATCCAATGAAATATCCATAATAGTCTTAGATTTTCAAAATGCATATATATCATAAAACTAGGTTTTCAACCTTTAAATAACTCATAAGGTATCTTTAAACAACCTTAGTTGGAACTCAATTC